ACGTTACTTAATAGTAGTAGTCGTATACGAAGTAAGTTACGTACACACACACACACACACACACACACACACACACACACACACACACACACTTCCCTTGCGTGCAGGTCGAGGCAGGCCCACAGCTGTAGCGTTCCTGTGCTGCTGACAGGCGCTGCGGGCGCATGCAGAAGTCAAGTCCTGACAAACATCGGGCCTTAAACAAGCACCGAGTGGCGCCTCTGGTCTTGTCTTCTTCATACCTGACAAGTCACGTCCTGCCCGGAGCTTCTCCCAAACCTGTTTAATTCAACAATAACGCTCCTCTACTCTCCCGAACTGAGGAAAAACACCTGCTTCCTGGAGGAAAATAGGGTTTAAAAGTGTTTTTTTGGACGATTTTTCTCAGTGTTTGAGTCTTTAAAACAAATATAGTTTTTTTTGCAGCACTTATCTTGACCACACTGAGTGATGACACCCGTCCTGAGGCCAACCTGTACGCTGACATGTGCTGTCATGTTTGTGTGGACGGCGCTGAAAGAGTCAAATATTCATCTGTCACTCGGGGTTAGCCGGTCGAACCCTGGACTTCACCGGCAGTCAAAATAACCGCAACGTTTGGTGCATTTGAAACTGAACGAGTTTTTGATCACTCCAAAGTCTCTGGAACGTTTGGGGTTGAAGGCGTGTAAAAGCAGTTTATTTAATATATACCTTTTTTATATTCCGATAACCTTATAGCTTCTTCATGCCCATTTAGCCTATGGGATCTTTCTATTTCTGTTGTGCTGTATTGAATGTACCTCTTCTGTACTTAGAGAAGCCATACAGTATATAAGTTATTTAATCTGATTAAGTTCAGTCAGGGAAATACTCTTCAAATCTGTTTTTATTTACAACAGCTCGACCCTGTTTTCTGCTGCAGGTTGGGTTTTTTATTAAAAAGAATGATCTTGTAATCTAAACTTTAAGAGAATGGGCTTTTCCATGACGATGATAAAGAAATCCCATCGCCCATATCATAAAAAAAACCTTTTCATCCCTGCCTTTAAAAAAAAAAAAAAATTCCCCTGCACCTTTTCCCATCTGTAGCTCTTAGGGCTCGTCTCCCTTCTTGTGACGGGCGAGTCTTGACAAGCTTCTTGACACAAACAAGTCTCAGCCCCATCTCGTGAGGCGTGGGACGGCCCGCAGATGTTCTCCAGACAAGCTGCGTCTTGCTGGCTTTCGCTGGAACACTCTTCTCTTTGAGCATTCACAAGCT